TCTGACATCCCATATCCCACCCTATAGTGAAAGGATAACTCTGACATCCCATAATCCTACAGTGACAGGGGTGGCTCTGTCACCCACTGATGCCCRAATCCCTAAACCAGAGGCAAAAATCAATCCATAATCAATGGTTTAAACTGGGAAAACGCTCCAAGATGAATCCCAGCCAGCGATGCCTGAGCCAGGCTTACCTAAACCCGAGATCAGACAGAATCCAGAGAACCAAAAAGAAAATTTCTATTTATTCAGGGCCTTTATGGCCATTGAGGGCAGTCCCAGCCCAGCCAGGGGCTGCACCCACAATGGACCATGGCTCACGGGTTTTTCACACTTTCAATTTTCCCAAATTAGACCATGGGCCACAGGTTTTTCACACTTTTTATTTGAATTTTCCCACAATGTACCGTGGCTCACGGGTTTTTCACCCTTTTCTCACTTTTGTCCATTTGCACATGGGGCCTGAATCCTCCAATTGCAGCTGCAGCCAATGCAGTCAAAAACTCCAACTTGGNGTGTCTCACTCTTTTAGTGACCCTGAATTCTGCATTTTTTTGTGTCTCACTCCCTCAGTAACTCTGAATTCTGAGTTTTGATATTTTTTTTTTGCATTTCACTTCCTCAGTGCCTCTGAATTCTATATTTTTTTTTGTCTCACTCCTCAATGACTCCAAATTCTGCATTTTTTTTTGTCTCACTCTTTCAGTGACTCCAAATCCTGTATTTTTTTGTGTCTCCCTCCTCACCACGCCTCGTGCTGGAGCAAAACCCATCCCAATCTCTGTCCTTGAACCCATCCTGGCGTGGCCGAGCAGAAAACAAAAATCCCTTTGTCCTGGGGCTCAGGGACACCCTCTGATCATGTGGCTTCCCCTGATTGTTGCTTTCTGAAAAYGTTGGAGCGATTTTCGGATTTTTTTCCAAGAATTCACACTGCTCCCGTYGCTCTGTGGCCACCAAACCTCAGCAGCTGAGAGGGAGGAGGTGTTGTTGTTGGAAGCAGCCGGATCCAGCAGGGCAAACTCCGTCATTAAATTGGGAAAAAAACCCCTGGGTTTGGCTCAGAGATTGTCACTGGTGGTAAAAAAACTTGGATTTCAGTCAGGAATGGTCACTGTTGGAAAAAAACCTGGATTTGAATCAGAGATGGTCACTGGTGATAAAAAAACCTTGGATTTGAGATAGAAATGGTCACTGTTGGTTAAAAAAAAATTGACTTTTTAGTCAGAAATGGTCACTGTTGTAAAAAAAAACTGGATTTGAATCAGAAATGGTCACTGGTGGTAAAAAAAAAATTGACTTTTGAGTCAGAAATGGTCACTGTTGGTAAAAAAAACCCTGGATTTGGCCCAGAGATGGTCACTGTTGGTAGAAAAACCTGGATTTGAGTTGGAAATGGTCACTGTTGGGAAAAAAAAAAAAGGATTTGGCTCAGAAATGGTCACTGGTGGTAAAAGAACCAGGCTGGATGGGGTTTGGAGCACCCTGAGATGGGGGAAGGTCCCTCACATCCCAAACTATTTTGGGATTCTTTATCCATCTCCTCTCGACAGGAGAGGGTCACTCACATCCCTCCCAAATAATTCCATGATTCTTTATCAATCTCAACAGACATTTCACCTCAAAAAAACCCCAAATTTTGCTAAATAAGAGCAGCCCTTAATAACTCGCATCCCAAACCATTCTGGGATTCTTTATCAATCTCAACAGAAATTTTACATAAAAAAAAACTCCCAAACTTTGCTAATTAAGAGCAGCCTTTATTAACTCACATCGCAGACTATTCTCGGATTCTTTATCAATCTTAACAGAAATTTTACATTAAAAAAACCCCAAATTTTGCTAAATAAGAGCATCATTTAATAACTCACATCCCAGACTATTCTCGGATTCTTCACCAATCTCAACAGAAATTTCACATAAAAAAACTCCCAAACTTTGCTAATTAAGAGCATCCTTTATTAACTCACATCACCCAGGCAAACACCTCTGAGCTCTTCTCCGTCCGCCGCTGAAATTTCACATTTTGAAATTTCGCCGATTAGCGCGGCGTTAATTACAGCAAACCCTCTGTCGCTCGTTTCAGTCCCTGGAGTACAACATCTTCGAGGGCATGGAGTGCCGTGGCTCTCCTCTGGTGGTCATCAGCCAGGGCAAGATCGTGCTGGAGGATGGCAACCTGCACGTGAGCGAGGGTTCGGGGCGCTACATCCCCCGCAAACCCTTCCCCGACTTCGTCTACAAGCGCATCAAAGCCAGGAGCAGGGTGAGTCTTGGGTTTGTTTTTCTCTCTTTTTAATTCTCCTTTTTTTTTAGTTCT